TGCACTAAATTATTGGAACAGTGTAAAATAATCTAGTTCGTAATGCCGATTAATATATTTTTGTAGCAAATCAAATACTGTTCATAATCAATTTACTGGGGAGCTTGAATAGTCCAGTGAACTGGATATTGTTGTTAATGAAGCCTGGATGGTGATTAGTGCGACGCAGACGACACGTTGGGACAAAAGTGGTGAACATGCGTCGTTGCGGATGCGTAGTTACGGGCTAGGCTTGGTAGTCAGGGTTGAAGAACGTATTGACATTGATTGGTAATGTTAATGATAGCCTATTGCTATTGATATGAAATAATCGATAAAAATTTTAATAAATGAGAGACATATTTGTTTGATTAACTTTTAGCGCAGCTATTTAAGTGCTACAACGTCTTCCGGGCCACGGAGTGAAATCAATGTCGTCACATCGGGAAGTTGCTACGCTAGAGTAGGTGATCTTTGTAAGGTGATAATGTGCCAGCGCGAAATTTTGGGCAAAGGGCGGGGTTTAGGTGGCCGATGAAAGGTATGCGGTCGTCTAGAGCTAATTGGCTACGGCAGATCGCTAGCAGTTCTTTTTCCTCACTTCTCGTTGAGAGATGCCTACGTACAAGTATCCTCGTGCGGTGACAGCTAAGTAATATACTACATCTGTGTCCCCGCATTCTGTTCACAACGCCTTAATCGGAACTGTTTTCGGTTTTGTACTCCATAAAGAGCATGCGCGTTTTACACTATTTTTTTTGGTGGCACATGTATATCCACAACTAGGAGTCTTATCAAGAAATGCTGGGCATGCCTATCAGTGGGAAAATAAGTTCTCCCTCTGTTTGTGGGAGATTATTTATTTAATAATGACAATATTGTTTGTTAATGCCACAGACTGTAATTAAATAAATGGAAAATTAAATTAATTGCATACTTTATTAATTAAATATTTAATCGTAATTATATGCTGAAAAATTCCGAGTGTCATCTCATCTGTGATTAGAGTAGAAGTGAAGCTACTTAGTGAAGAAATCCTATAGGAACCGCAGCCAAGCCTCGAGGCTCTCACTATGCCTCTTACGGCTACGTCAATGTCTTCTTCTCTAGGCGAACTTCTGCCACTTTTCCACATTCTAACATTTCCAAAAGTCATCGCTACTACGACATCAAGCAAGCAAGGAATCGTCTAGTTAGTATCATGACGATTTCTTGGCAAATCTTGTATTTTACTTTAGATTTTTGAATCGAGTCTGGCAGCGTAAATCATCAAACTTTCCAACGTTTCGAAATAACTTTTTTCGAGCTTCTGAGAGACAATCATCACATATAATACTAAGAGAAAGGAAATAATTAGGTATAAATTTCATCGTGTAATACGTATTATGTAATGCCCAACTGACAATGAAAAGTACGAAAGCCGGAAAGTCCCTAGATTTATACAAATTCAGGAATACAGCGAATCAACATTTAGGTATTAGCCGATATCGTATCATCATTTGGACAGTACTTCGCTTGACAATGCCCGCTTAATCGCCATAATTAATCACATATTCGTTAACGCTTCTATAATCTACTTACACCAAACAAGTCCAGTACATAAGTCCAGAACTAAGCCTATAATAAAAAAGGTTTCACCCTCAACACTCCTTACAATGAACTGCAGTGGAGCCCTTAGCTGGGGGTGTCGCATATGAGCAATATAATAATAATAATAATGTGATATATAATAATGCATAATATGAGCAACACCAGACGTAAGATAGCATCGTTATATTGAAAATAATGAAGGATGAACGCTCGCCCAGATCAAGTCAGCTGATTCAAAAATTCAAAATTTTCGATGCATGTTCCTTCCTTATTTTATTATATCATTAATTTCATTCAATCGCGCTGCGTCACAGAAATCTTACAGAATTTATTCCCAGGAGACCTGCATTAATTCAGTTCTTTTTAGCGCATTTTCTCATTTATGGAAAAAATGCACTATTGTGCTCGCCATGTCCGTCCGTCTGTCCGTCCGTCTGTGACCTCAAGTTTTCGTCGACGAGAAAATGCGCTCTCTGTCACTCACTGCAGTGAGTACTGAGTTATATTTTTTTATCTATCTCCACCAAGCCATCAGGCTCAATTCGTATAGCAATCAACATTTTCTCTTGGTCGACTTTGTACTCGGATCATATCAGCTTTTTGGTTCCCAAATTCTAAATTATTTTAATTTATTGATAATCGATTGTATACTAAAAATTATAATTCAGGAATTTCCTTCTTCAGCAGGACAAACGAGGACCTTAGGCAGGATTTTCTATCAAAAGCAGAACAAAGGAGGCTAACAAACAGGATCATAAGCAGGATCTCCTATCATAAGCAGAACAAAGCTGTATCATAAGCAGGATCTCCTATCATAAGCAGAACAAAGCTGTATCATAAGCAGGACCTCCTATCAAAAGCAGAACAAAGCAGGATCTTAAGCAAGATCTTCAATCAAAGAAGAAGAAGGTAGGATCATTAGCAGGATCTACCATAAGCAGAACAAAGCTGTATCGTAAGCAGGATTTCTTATCATAAGCAGAATAAAGTTGGATCACAAGAAGGATCTATTATTATAAGCAGGTTTTTCACCAGCAACCAGCATTTTTTTCATACTCCTTTCCGTGCGTAAGCCTGCTAATGGGCAGAGTGGATTAAGGGATTATATTTTAAAAGCCAAAGGTACAAATCCCCTTCATGGGAATTAACCAGCGAGCTAATGAGAAGTAAGCAACCAATACAATCGCTCTACGCCGTATTTAAAACAGCCCAACAGCTTTATCCCATGCCGTCTAACCTCACGATTTTCGGTAAGAAACTCCCCACGCCACAGCGCTGTTGGTGCACAGCCAGCACTGCAGCCCGTCCGTTCGTCGCAGCTGTTATTCCCCCAGCATAACTCTACCTCTACGCTTACCCCGTCTCCCCGCCTTTTTGCACCGACTGTCGGACGCCTTTTCATAGTTTCTGCTCACTTGACTGCATTACGCTATGAAAAGAGGATCTATACAAGTTGTAACCTAACCTAACCTAATTCGGTCAAGCATTAAATGTCTGCGAGAAAAGCCTCCAGTTAGCCATGTGATAATGGTGGAGAGTCGGGGTAAGTGTGGGGGGAAGAAGATGCTGGGGGATAGTAAGGCAGGGAAACAGTGACGAGGGGTTAACGTCTTGCGGAGTAAGTAAGGTGGTGACGCATTACCGTTTGGTACAGTTCACATTTGCGACAATGCAGTGTGGTCAGCGGACACTTAGGATAACAGCATGTGTAAGAAGTGATGGTATGGGTTATAAAGCATTGGAGAACAACGTATTGACCGTTAAATATGTGGAGTAGCAGCTTGTGTGCTGAAACAGTGTTGGTTTAAAGTTCGTGTGATGAGACAGGTCAATTGACTACAGCTGCTTAGGTGCCAGGATGACAATAGGTCAATAGCTATAGCTTTTAGATGGTTGATGTTGGCTCCAGGGCTGATTTGAGCGTTAATTTGCTGGTCTACGGCTGTACATCCTGTACCTGTTCACTAACGCCGGGTGCGCAGCCGTAGACCAGCAAATTAATGCTCAAAACCAACACTGCTTCAGCACACAAGCTGCTACTCCACATAGTTAACGGTCAATAAGTTGTTCTCCAATGCTCTATAAGTATAACCCATACCATCACTTTTACACATGCTGTTATCCTAAGTGTCCGCTGACCACACTGCATTGTCGCAAATGTGAACTGTACCAAACGGTAATGCGTCATCACCTTACTTACTCCGCAAGACGTTAACCCCGCGTCACTGTTTCCCTGCCTTACTGTCCCCCAGCATCTTCTTCCCCCCACACTTACCCCGACTCTCCACCATTATCGCATGACTAACTGGAGGCTTTTCTCGCAGACCTTTGATGCTTATCCGAATTAGGTTAGGTTAAGTTAGGTAAGGTTAGTTTACAACTCCTATAGATCCTCTTTTCTAACGCCACAGGCTGCTGCGGAGTTAGACGAGGAGGATAGAAACCGCTGACTTGGCTGACTTGGACTTGCGGTGGGTTCCTCTGCCTGGCCAACGTTGCCTGGGGTGGAAATCAGAAATGACAGGCAGGAAGAAAATTGTGCTAAACTTTTCGGGGATATTGTTTTAAATGAAGTTGGCCATAGAGATAATATATTATGTACAGGTTATATAAAGAAATCTGTCGTGTGGCCCAAGTGGGCTGAGGACTGGTAAGATAATAGCATTTCTGTAAATCATTATTGATAACAAATTGCTAGTCTCACATTATAGGAACCGAAATACGACTGCCAAGAAGTAGCTATTTTTGCTAAATGATTCCATAGTCATGATTTATGTTCAAATTGCGTGCCTAGTAATATAGTGTCGCATTACCTTGTCCCACCACAAGTCGAGCATGAAATACGAATAAATTTTACATCTACAATAAAATAGGATGAATTGTAAGATACTTTTAGCCATGAACATTTTTTCAGAATTTTGGATATTGAAGGAGCAAATCGCAGCGTATCATCATTTTTTCATAAGCTTCAAAAAATTTAGAAAAACGTCCATTATGGTTTCAAATAATGGTGACTGTGTTAAATTTTATGCGTAATAAAAGGAGATGGCTTCAACATACTACAATATGATCAAGATACTTATATAAATTTAAGAGATATTGATTCATCAGTTTTTTTAAATAAAATGCAGAAAGAGCCCCAATGTTGTTGTTTTAGCAATCAACGACTCTTATTTAATTCACATTTTAATTTTCGACATTGGCAAGGGGTGATGATAAGTATGGGCTTAAAAAGATTAATAAATAATATTTCACGATTATCAAACATTTATTAACATTCTTCGTGTCGATACGATAGATCACTACAGGGAATTAAGGCGCATTTCTGCAATCAATAAGTAAATGTACTTCGCTTCTATCACATTTCCCGTTTATCCATTTATGTCCCGTAAAACACATTACGAACACGGAAAGGGAGAGGACCACGGATGTCACGCCAAGTTATTGCACTTTACTTCGCATTTGCGGCTTGCTGCATCCAACTTCGCTTTGAATTCTGGTAGCTCTGAAATTCCCACAGGTTTCGATTTAAGACGACTGAGAATTTCCTCGTACTTGCGTCTCTTGTTCTCATCCTTTTCTGTGACTGAACCGTCCCAGGCCTGGAGGTCTTGTTCAATAGTCTTTTTCTGGTCCTGCAGCGAATCTTTCCACTTTTTCAAATCAGTATTCAGGTTCATGAGTTCATCAATCCAACTCAACATGTCATTAACTGGTTCAAGTTTGCCGCTAATCTTAGTCCGTACTACGGCTCTAGCGTCAACAGCTTCAACTCCCTGAAGCAAGTCTTCCACCAACTCTACTGCGTGTTTGGCGTGTGTCGTCTTGAAGCACCTGAAGCACACGAGTTCCATGCAGTCAACACACAGGTAATCCAGCGTTTTCTGATGCTGAGGGCACGACCTCCCTGCCTGGGATCTCGAAGCCCGTTGAGGTTTGTTCTCAGAGGGAATCAACGCATAAACAACTGACATATCATCTACAGGTTGGAATGTTACTTTCTTGCATTTAGGGCACTTTGTGGTGGACCCGAAATCATTTGGTAAGCTCGAGATGCATAAGAAGCAAAACATGTGGCCGCATGCCAGGCAGAGCGGCTTGTGGTTGCCCGAGTCGTATTCTTCGAAACAAACTTCACACTCCATCGTTGCTGGGGCCGTGTTGAGATTCCTAGACGAAAGTGAAATTGTGATGTTTTATCAACGTTTAGATTCACTTCAGCGAGAGACTCTAAAATAAATTCATTGATTCACCATCTGCTGGAAAATCTGCGTGTGAACGATATTTTATATGAGGCCAGTATGCAAGAAATTGTTGCTCACACAGACTGGCAATGGCTGCATTCCGACCAACTGGGACGACTGAAATAGCCCATCATTGCCCAATACCAGCATAATTTTCATACTTCTCTCCGTGCGCAAGCATGCTGCAGAGCAAATTAGCCAACATGATTACTTGCTGAAAGCCACAGGGACCAAACCCCTTCATGGATGTAAACCAGCGAGCCAATGAGCTGCAAGCCGCCAAAACAATGGTCGTAACCCACACGCTAAACCCCAAAATATTTCTATTCCATGCAGCCTAGCCCCTTCCCCACCTTCGATAAAGAACGCCCTGCGACACAGTGCTAAAGTGGCTAAACCCACAGTGCTTCTAAACCACCACGCTTACCCCCTGCTCCCCCTCCTTTCGGTACCAGCTTGCGGAAGAATTCTAACCAAACCTAACCTAACCTAACCCTTTCGCGGAAAGGAGGAGAGAAGGGCGTAAGTGTGGAGGAAGATGATGCTGGTGAGCGTCAGGGCAGGGCTTACGCCTGCGAAGTGGGTAAGGTGATGCGACAGTCCGGTACGGGGCCGTTCCCATTTACGGCAGTCTGGTGCGGTCTGCGGACCCTGTGGCTTACGGCATTTGTAAGAAGTGATGGTATGGGCTTAAATCATTGGTGTAGGAGCTATTGGGCGTAATCCGTTTGGAGTAACAGCTTCTGGGCTGAGGCATTGCTTGTTTCAAGCTGGTGTGGCGAGATGAGGCAAGTAAGAACAGCTGCATAGGATTTAGGCTGACTATTTCTATTGCATGTAGAGGGTCTGTATTGGCTCTTGGGCTGATTTAAGAGTCAAATTTTTGGGCTACGGCAGCGCTCCCGACCAACTTAGGTATCCATGCAACCAATGAATATTGACGATATAGAAATAAATTTTGATATGTAGCAAATTCAATTACATTCATTATTCATTTAGTCACGAGTTTATCCAGTGAATTGGATATCGTTGCCAGTGAGACGTAGTGAAAAGTGTGACGTGGACGATATGTCGGCATAAAAGCGAACATGCGTCGTTGCTGATGCGTAGTTACGGGCTCAGACTTGGTAACCGAACGTGCGGTCATTGAAATCTAACGTTATTGGTAGCCTTATCACTGTAAAATATTTAGACATAATTTAAATAAAACGAGCTATACATTTGTTTATTACCATCGAGATGGTAATTGTGTTACTTAAGTAAGGTAGCGGAGCGCCTCGGTATGAGGACTACAAATACATGTATAAATCTTCATTGGTAAGTACACTGCCAGAAACGAGCGACACAGCGGAGCTGTGGCCTGAATCATCTGCCTGGCGTAAAGTGATCCTACTTGGTGAAGAAATAACATAGGAACCAGCCAAGCCTCGAGGCTGTCACAAACACACAATGCCTCTTAAGGCTACTTCAATGGCTCCTTATCTAGGCGAACTTCTGCCGCTTTTTCCACATTCTAACGTTTCCACAAGTCATCGGTGCTACGACATCAAGCAAGGAATCGTCTAGTATCTTGACGATTTCTTGGCAAATCTTGTATTTTACTTTAGCTTTTTGAATCGTGTTTGGCAGCGTATATCATCAAACGGCCCAGTGGGGGCGAAATAACTTTTTTCGAGCTTCTGGGAGACAAGCATCAAATAAAATACCAAGAGAAAGGAAAGAAATAAAAATGAATTTCATCATGTGATACGTATTGAGCATTACTCAACTGACGGTGAACATTACGAAAACCCGAATAGATATGTGCATATGTCCCTAGATTCGTACAAACGCACGAGTACTGCAACTCAATACTGGGTCATGCCGAAACCGTTACATAATTTGGACAGTGTTTCGATTGACAATGCCCGATTAATCGCCATTATTTATCACGTATTCCTTAACGCTTTCATAATCTACTTACACCAAACAAGTCCCGTACATAAGTCCAGTGAACTATAAGCCTATAATCAAAAACCTTTCGCCCCAAAACTCCTTACAATGTACTGCAGTGGAGCCCTTAGCTGTGGGATGTCACTGTCATTTGAGCAATACACGTCTCATCTATGATAGCATCGTTATCAAATCTTGACGTAAGATTGCATCGTTATCTTAACGTTATATAGAGAATAGTTAAGGATGAACGCTGGCCCTGGCGAAATCACCTGATTGATAAATAAAAATTTTTCGACGCCATGTTCCATTCTAATATTATTATATCATTAATTTCATTCAATCACGCCGCGTCACATAAATCTTACAGAATATGTTCCCATGAGACCTGCATTAATTCAGTTCATTATTTTATCTCTCTCCTCCTCATCTTCAGGCACAATTCGTGTAGCAATCAACATTTTCTCCTGGTCGACGTGGTATTCGTATTATATCAGCTAATCCTACATATTATTTTATATCAGCTCATGCTAATTTTTCTCGTTCAGTAGTTCATCCTAATTCTTCTCTTAAATAACATTATCCAGAGTCTTTTCCTGTACCAGCGTATCCTTTAATTTTAATCAAACTATGTGATGCCCTGGAACGTCCCTGGAAGCCATCTGATTTCTGAACGCCAATTTATTTGCCGATTAAAATCAGAGCTTTTGTGGGACGTTAGTTAATAAACTCGCACTTCTGAGACGATCCTTGAGCGATAGCAACAGATTGTCTACTGACGGTGGATGCATCTTAGCGTGAGCTCAAGAGGGGACCGAATGCTATAGATTGGTTAACCCTATGATGAAGCTCAGAGGTTGTGGCCATTTGTAGCTCTGGCCAGTTTACATTCTGGAAAACTGGCTTGGCTTCATATCTAATCTCACCCAAATAATATAACCCTACTTGTATTTCAACTGCATTCAAACTTGATATGATTACCAATTTATTTTAACATTTAATTTAAGGTGACAATTTTTTAGAATGCAGCTGCTGGTGCTAGGTTTACAAATTAATTTGCTTAGGAATTGCCTGAAATGGAAACCACAGTATACGGCTTGCTCTAATCTTTAAGACATTTATTAGGCGCAAGCAATTCTTTTAAGTCAGCTGGTATTTTTGTGGCAGGATGGACTGCACGAAACGTTTTAGCTCGTCAGTTTATCTGTGCTACCTGACTACAATATAATTGTGGCCAGGTGAAGCTCCTGCTCCCGATTCAGAGGACTTCCATCGGGCAGCAGCTCGGGCCAATTCACTATTCGCAAGATTTTGGTGTTTTCCTCAAAACAGTTACGATTTAATAAACTCAATATTTTTTAGAGGTTTCTTTATTTTATCATTTAGGTGAAACTGAATCATTTCTTCCACTGACATGGGAGGGCGCGCTAAAAATTTGTACAATTGATCCCTCGATCGTACGAGGATGAGTGAGAGGAGTAGGCTGGTGCGAACGAGGGCTAGAAAGGTTTAATGAAACGAACAATACAATATTAATAACGTATATAAATATATAGAAGCGATAATAACATATAGAAAAACATATAAAAATCAGTTATATACGAATATGACCCAACAGCCCCCCAATGTGCGATAAAAATATCAACAACTGCAGTGCAATAAATGGAACGCAGCAATAACAGATAAAATAACTTTTCTTTGAATTTATTTCTCCTGCTTTCATCTTACTCTTAACACCAACTACCCTCTTGTTCTAGCCTTTGCAGCTTTGCTCTAATATTTTACCTCTCGAACCTTACCTTTTCTCAACCAACATCAAATGAATATGTACCGCCTAGGAGTTAGCCAATATAAATGTCTGGTATTCATTGTACACCTACTTATCTATAATGCTCAGCGATGAGAATCTTGTCGGCAGAATATTAAAATAGTATAATTAACACATATTCATATTACGCAAATAAAAATCTTCCTTGTGTTTTAATTCGCAACGTAAATTATAATTTCATTGGCATTTAGGGCACGTCGGATGGTTAGCAGCTAGCTATGTCAACAATCAAACCGACAGATATGCGGACGTTACAGGCTAAGGTAACTTCCCAGTCGAATTTACACTGATAGATTATTTGTATGCACCACTAAATATGGTGGTATAATTAGGCAATATGTTGAACAAAAAACATTAATTAATAGCAAGTCGAACGTTGGGTAGTAGCAAAGGGACTGATTTCTGACGGACGAATCAGAAAATAATAAAAAATATAAGCCTGAATAGAATATTTTCCTTTTTCAAATTATCCACGAAATATAAGACATTAAAATTATTTTAAAATCTATTTTTCTAAAATGCTCATCAATAACATTTATTTACAAGAGGTGACGGTCAAAAGACGCTCCATGTGACATAGCTTCTGAATGCAGTTCAGACAGTACCGTTCCTAAATCCTAATTGTTTAGATCTCGTTCGCCAGTCTTGCACCATTTATTTTATTGTTGCTTCCACCATCAAGTTAATTGTGGCAAAATTATTGTCGTCTTTAACTCAGGGAGTTTCTGAACACAAGTCTTTCGTACAAGTGAGTTACTGGTATAATGATTGCGCATTTTAATTACGTATGGTATGAAATAATTGACCCTTCTCGTATGACAGTGAAACTGAATGTTATTATGGACTCGTTTTCGTTTCCCAGTGCATTGCTAGGTATTTGCCTATGTCAACTCTACTTTTTCACTTTGCTTTACACGCTCACTGTCAAATTAACTGGTTAACATCTTAACTTTCGAAGAATGTACTACCTGGAATGATGCACTGATGACTCTGAGCCACTGATGAGTGATGACTGATCTGTCCAAAATCTCAAACTCCTAATACTATTTTCTTTTATATCAACTACCTATAGAATTTCTCAGGCTCACTGACACTGAGTGAGGCTGAGGTTTGAACTAAAGAAATGGGTAATGTTTGTTTCTTTTTCAATTAGAAATATCAGGCATAAGTTTCCTAAAATTATGGGTAAATACAATCATTTCTGTTTCACAGGAGAATGAGGAGATTTTTGAAAATTGTGTTTAAAAGTAGCTAGGCAATTTTTCTTTGAAAAAATTCTGAAGAAGCTATAGGAATGGTTGAAGTTGGCCAGATTCACAGACATTTTTGTTCAATTTACAGGTTATTTCTGGATTTTCTGCCCAATTTTCCAGATAGTGTTCCTCTATTTTGAGATTCATAAGACAAAGTTAAATCTTAGGCAATCTGGAATAGGGTAAACGCGGTATATTCCGACACTTTAAGGACGCATCGAGAAATGAAAAACTATAAAAAAATACCGTATGCGTTACGTAAGTTCTGTTGCCTTCACATGACTCTCAAAACACTTCACTACGCGTCAGGCCGTCAGCAACGAGACAGTATCTCTGATGCAAGAAATACTGGCTAAATACATTTTAATTTAGAAATTAAGGTCAATCAAAAATTCAAAATTTCTGCTGTCAGGGCTATGTTGATTCTTGCGAACCGATTGTTGCATCCAGTCGCTTATATTGAAAATAAAATGATTTAAGCAAGTATTTCTTGCATCAGAGATAATTCAAAGTTTGCTAATGTTAACAGCATTATAATACATGCAGAAACGTACATTTTTTTATAGATATTAAAAATTTACGCTCTATGACTTGTATACTATGTCTATTACAGTCTATAGGATTTTGAATCGATGCATGCATTCAAATTCAAATTAGGTCCACCCACGCCCCATGCCCACGGCCAGTGTAGCTGTCAGCTCACCTTCTTCAGAAGTGTGAAAGCTTTTGCCAGTGAAGGTGTGTTTTGCGATCGGTCCATAAAGAAGTGTTGATCGGTTCAAAATGACATAAGAACAGGTTCTTTTGAATAACCTATGGATTGGCACCATGCTTGATCCTCCCGTGTCCATCGATCAATTTAAAATTCTTTGTAACGCTAGCAGCCAAACCGATTTATGAATTTTAGAATCTCTTTACATCCATAAACTTAAACCTAAGTTGAATAACCAATCCAGCTCTTTTCCTCTTTTGATTCTAGGTCAATAGTTGTTTTTTTCCTTTCTTTCCTTGTCATTTTCTAAATTTATGTACTAAAATTGATTTCCATGTATTTCCAGATGTATTCTACTAGCTGATGATGGGCATAGCCCAAAACGTTCTGTTTTGTTTATCTAGGACTTCTATTCAGTAAAATGTTTTATGCAACTTTTTTGGTTTTAACCTTTATTCTTAAACTAAGAAGAACTCCTCGAGATATTGTGAGATACAGATTTGCATGAATAATGCCATTCAATATCGTTAGCTACATTAAATTGAGGGTGGAAGATGGGAATGGCAATGATTAATTTTCTGAAGCAACCTTTACAAAATTAGCATCAAACAAGCAAACGGATGTCATGTCAACCGGAACTCTAACACCACAGCAGAGAGTATTTTATGCAGCTAATGAATTTCGCAAAGTTTGCTGGAAGAGAGATCTTTGAATTTTAGAAAATAGGCAGGATAGTTCAATGAAGGGTGGTGGCAGAACTGCAATCTTGATACTCTATTGCGATTCGTGCTATGATAACCTACGTAACAATTTTCATATGATAGTTATAATTTTTGCACATTCAAAGTAGGTATACATGACATAACATAACACACCCAGATTTGGAAACCATAATTGCTCAAATGAAGCAAAAATAAATGACAGATCATTGACTTATCTTGCAAATGTATATACAGCAATCCCTTGATTAGCACGGTTTTGAATACCGCGGTTTTGATTAATGCGGAAAAAAAATTTGCGACCTACCCTTAATCTACGCAGTGCCAGTTTACTACAGCAATCCCTTGATTAGCACGGTTTTGAATACCGCGGTTTTGATTAACGCGGAAAAAAAATTTGCGACCTACCCTTAATCTACGCAGTGCCAGTTTAGATTAGCGCGACTTTTTTTTTCACAAAGCATCATTTTCCCGCCTCTAGCCAGAGGTGTTACGTTCGTAACAAAAGTGTTACTTTTTGCTTATTAGATCTTATGTTGTTACTTTTGTTACGACTTTTGGAAAAATTCGCCAAATGTTGTTACTTTATGAATTTCAGCCCATAATTCTTTAAATAAGGTCCCGTTCCGTAGGAACTTGTGCTGACTACAGAGTCGGTTTAACCTTGCCTTGTCTTGTTCATAACTCAAATGATCAAGTTTGGCAACGTTCGCCGGTAAGTTCGCCATGCCGGTGCTCTAGCCCTTTAAGCCCTGGTGTGACGAATTCTTCACACAGTAAATAAAAGCTTCTACCGAGAGTAATTACATGTTTGGAATCTAGCCGCGAGTGTGACGGTAGCGTCACATGTTGTGAACTCGTTCGAACGACCTTCAATGGAGTAGGCGCGTTGCTACTGCCAGTTTAACACAAAGACTGCGCGTGATCTGAAAAGTAATTCAGATTGTTTTTTCACTTTCGAAACATAATTCAGTGCGTAAAGGGCTAGTTACTTGTTAGCCTACAACTAGTCAAGATCGCTGCCATATCTACTGCTCACTTTTATCAAACTACATAATTTTCCTTTCCTTTGCTATTTTTGAGGATTCATTATAATTATTCCCATATATTCTTAAGTTTGATTAGCACAGTTTTGCTTAACACGGTAAAACTCGGGGATTTATTAACCGCGTTAATCAAAGGATAGCTGTATTCATATTTTGTATCATATAGTTTAATTACGCTCTGTAATTATACTGTATTGACCTGACTGAGATAACGCTTACTTTCGGTATCTAAGCTAAGTTACATGCCTTTACATAGCGCGCCTCGGTTTTTTGCCTCTACTGAAGAGTTTGAAAACCTGAAAACCTCTCTCACGGCAAACCTATCTCCTAGAGTTTTTAAGCTACAACAATGAGACATGAACTATTTGATGTGCAATAAAAAGATCTACAAATCGCTGTAGGCGTTTTTCTAATTTCGTTATAGTTTGGATTTTGTTCTGCAAAAAGGAGGGTGTGGTGGGTAAAATTGAAAAATTTATGAAAAATGCCCACACACCCACAAAAACAAGAATTTCCAAAAACGCATACAGCGTCTTATAGATATGGTCTTTACGCATCAAATGATATGTGTCTCAATGTTGTACCTTGAAAATCCTAGGAGGATATAGATTTCTATGGTACCCCCTTTTTTGGCTGTTTTCTTAGATTTTCATGTTTTTTTCATTTATTTTGAAAAAATTCCCAAGAACAAAAAAGGTTAGATTTCTGTTTTACATATGTGTAAGAAGTTTCAGAGTGATCCATCTGTAAATAGCCGAGATAAATTTTACCCCAGACGCTCCCTTTAAATCATTAAATGTAAATTTGCATACTATGAAATTTGTTGATAGTAGATAGATAGTTTTTTCAGGATTTAAAATGTTTGGACTAGGGATAGCAAGCATAGTCAGGGTTCCAGTTCTCCATCATTAAACTGTAAATCAACAATATAATCAATAATGTCTTTAGTTTGATGATAATAATAATAATAATCCTGGCTGGAAGCATCTTTTAAAACTGACACAACATATAAATCACTTCACTAGATTCTTGAATGATAGCAAGCTTGTTGCATGCTGCAACTAAGAAAACAGAAAATGTAATTAAATGAACAATATAACATTTGGGTAAAATCAGCAACTATTTGAACCATAAATCTGCAATTAAAAGAGTAAATCACTTGATTAATGTGTAGAAGTTGAAGAAATGTCCAAATGAATTACAAAAGCAAAGCATTCAAGAATAACTTGCAAGCAAATGACGGTTAAGAATTGCAATACTTAACACACGTATATAGGTATAAATTGCATATGAAGTTAAAGTAATCTAAATAACAGAAAGTAAAATTATTGAAAACTTATAACAAGATCATTTGTACCTATATATGTAAATGGATCAATGCCAAGTGCATTTGCCAATAACTTGTGACAGATTTTCCCAAAAAGTTGTCAATTAGAAACTAGCAACTGCACTTGCTAGGTCCCCAAATTACTAGCAAAATCATTAATCACTATTTAAAAAAAATACTATTAATAAAAATTTTTGCTTTCAATAAATATTTTTATATGTAATCAAGTTCAGTTTTAGAAAAATTATGGCGTATGAAACTTTTTATTCATATGTTTGCTTGGAGCAATAGTTGGGCAGCAATTGTTGCTTGGAAGTACTACGTAGGTACTAAGAGTAATACTGTACTTCTTGGCAACACCTGCTTTAAGGCATTATTTAATTTTTCATCAATCTTACTACTGCAATGCTTCAATGCTGTTAAATGTGCACCATGTGTGTGATTGTAGCCTTTAAGTGGGAAAAAGAAGAGAATATTTGGAACATACAGAACTGAGTATAGACAGCTCCATATCATCACTGTGTTTAGTGACTGAAAATTATTAGAAACCTGTTTAACAAGCACCAAGCATATATATATTATTACAATCATAATCTTAAGTGTTTAGTACGTATTTAAACTTACTTGAACCTTGCATTCATTACACAAGGTTGACCAATGTTGGCCTGGACCTTTTGCTGCACAATTAAAAGAAAAAGTTTTTTGTTGTTGACCTTTTAACCAATCAAAATGTTTGTCTCCAAGAAGGCTCTATTTTGGAGTAAAGTGCAGTATGTAGTATGGAAAAATTGGGGAGAAATCTAATCAATATTCAATAAAATGATCAAATACTTTACATTTTGATAATGTCAATTTCAAATTTGAGATGACTGGTTCTTTTTTTGAAATTGTCTGAGCTCCATTAGGCAGGGATGCAAAAAATAAAAAATTCCTGTATTTTAAATGACTAATAAATTATTAATTTTCAGAATGGAAGAGTTCCGAGAGCAGCTGCGTCTAAACATGCTGAGGTGCGTGGACAATCATGCCGAGACCGTGGTTGCAGTTGCAGGCCGCACAGCTCTCTACAACTACAATGAGTCAGGAGAAACATGGAGCAAGACTGATGTTGAAGGAACTTTGATGATCTACACCCGTAATGCCAAGCCATGTCATATGCTCACCATCATCAACAGAAATTCCAAATCAAATTTCATTGAGCCTATCACAAAGAACTGTGATGCTCAGATTAAAACCCCTTATATTTTGCTAAGAAATGACAAGATGAAGATTTTAGGCATCTGGTTTGCTGATGATAATGATGTGCCTAAGATATTTGAAGCTATTGGAAATTTTATAAAAATGGAGGAACCTGAGATCAGTCTTGTTCCAGCCAATGATGCAAACAATGAAGCCAAGACATCTCGTGTAAGTGATATGCATCACAACACTGCATCATCCAGCTCGCCCGAGAACATAATGTCAATGCTCAGCAAGGCACATGGTGAATATGAAATCAAGAAAGTTGACAACACTGTTGAGAACAAGAGGTCCCCTAGCGCCAACCTTCACCAAGTAAACAACGTGGTTAACACAATTGCTAACTCTAATAACAGTCTTGGAATTGCACAAGAGAATGCTGGAGCTAAATCACCTCAAGGCAACACAGTTGCTGATTTCTTTGCCAAAGTTGGTGTAGGACTTGGACCTTCAGCAAATGCTGCAGGTCCTCATCATGTTTCGCCTCAGAATAACGTGAATGGTAACGCCAATTCAGTGATGCCAATTGAGCTCATTAACCAGTCAGCTAACCCAGTGCTGCAGCAACTGTTCCAGGGCGCCGCGGCCGTGGGTGGCCAAGCCTCGGTGCTGTGCAGCAACGGCTCCACCAGGGCTCTTCCTATCCCAGCTACTGGGTCTGCAATCACCGACAACAGCCGAGATGCGGGAGTCAGCAAGTCAGGGTCCATGTCACTTCAGGAGCTGGAAGGGCAACTCAGGAAAAACCTGCTTATGCCTGGCATGACAGTATGCAGTGAAGATGATCTGCTAAAGCAACCGGCTGCTTCCAATGCTGCCAACATCAATTCCCAACACCTCCCTCTACGGTTTGGCATGGCCACTGTGCCCATGAGCGAGACTGGAGTCGTACCGGGAAGTGTGACGAGCGCGCTAGATGGTAAACAGATTTTGAGTAGCCCCAACGCGGGTTTGGGGTTGATTTTGGGTGGCCCTCCTGGCATCAATACCTCAACATTCTCTAGCCACAGCAACTCAAGCGACAGCGGGGCTCGCAGTGACGGAGGCATGAACCTCACTGAAGAAGACATACTCAACAAGAATGAGCAGGACAAGCTAAGATTGCAGCAGCTACAGCAGCAGGTGCAGTTGCAGCACATGCAACACCAGCAACAACTTCGCCTCGCGCAGAAGCAACCGCATCAGCCGCAGCAACAACTGCTTATAGAACAACAGCTGCAGCAGCGAGTGCAACTTCTGAGCAATAAAGAACCTCAGAAAACATTACCTCCACTCAATCAGAGTCAGTTTGTTCTGGCCCTGAGCCACGCTCTCACAAAGGAGGACTTCGTGCGGCAGCTCTACCAGGCGTACGAAGAAGTCGTACTCAAGCATCCCAACTGCTAAGAATCCTCCCTTTGTTTCTCAGATGCTTCAGTACCTTGAGTAGCTTAATGTTTTATGGTAGAGTCTGCCGTCAAACTTTATACGCTAGTTTATTTTATTCTTATGTAAATAAAAGATAAATTTGGTGTTTACAAATAGCAACTAGTACTGTTTTAGTTTGCTTGGTCGAGAAGTTCAGAGCATTAGAGGTGAAATCTATGAGAAGCTATTTACAATTTAGGATAGCATTGCAAATAAGGCGCTACTAGCAGATATTTATCGTCTCTCTACATCCGTGTGTAATGTCAAGTTACTGCAGTAGCTTCATAGTTCTTCAAATATATAGTTCTACATAGTTTAGCTGTAGTCTAAACCAGCCCTACAGTTGTTCCTTCAGTACTTTCATTCCAAAATATCTTCATCAAATAGAATTTATTTCATTGATATTTGAAGCCGTTATGCTTCACTGCTGTCATGAAAATTTTCCCTGTCAAAATCTGTATTGGATTATTTACAACAAAATAGCACTGGATTCATGTCTCTAGATAGAAGTGAAAAATCTTACTGGTCTCAAGGATTTGTGAAGCGTGTATCGGTTTAAGAGATTCTCTGCACAGGCTATGCACGTGTCGATATGTACACGGTACGAGGAATATTATTGTTGCTAAATACTTAATGGACTTGGGCATGTGCTTCTAAGTTGTGTGTTAAAGTTGAGGATCGGATTTTAATCCGTTGTATGTCGGAGTGGAATTATACCGCACTGCAATAATTTTACTTGTAAACTTCAAGTTCGAAGATTTTTTTTTTCTGTCTTGACTTTGGCTTCTGGAACTTGGTCTTTAAACGTGTTTTTACCTCATTTATTTTGAGAACAAATTCAGGTAGGTATTATTTAATTGTTCTCTGACGATTTTACAAAATTATTGAACTGTAAAAGATAATGTTAAGGGACTTCGTTTCTCAGACTTTGACGCTTAGACGATTATTTTTCATACTCATTAGCAATTATTTTGGTTGAAGTAAAGCTTTTCATTCAATAGCTGTCGTCTTGTGTTTGAATTCGATTATTATAAGGCTGAACAAAATTGATGTCAGCAACGAGTAGGCCTTATCCTCTAATCGGGATTCCTCTAAGAGTTCTTAGGCTGTCCAAGAACTGGCATTATTGGCTACTTTTAGAGTTATGACGCATATAAATTTTAATTTCTTTCAGGATTGGCGACTAAAACTTATCATGGGCTAATGTTCATAACTTTTGTAGAACTTCTTAGTTAGGATCATCTCTCTGACTCGTGCATATCGTTGCAACCCGCCCTTGTTGATCACGCTCCAAGTTGTCATTAAATCTATACCTAAACGTGCACTTTACATTTATTTCGCCAGTATTGTTGTGTGTAGACAGAGGACTAAGCTTTCTTGGCGTTGCCTCATCGGCAACTCCAATTTTCTATCTCACTAAATCTTCGGATGGCTTGTTTTGTCTTTCTTACCCTCAAACATCAAGCAGAATTTATGTAGTAGCAACCCTTAAATATATAGATAATAGCAATGCCTTCGACAATGACCAGGTAAGAGCTATGCGAGAGTCACCTGCAGCAAGTTCTAGATCCTGTCGATGTTGAACGCAATCAACTTAAGTAGTTCATGCTAAATGAGTTTTTTTGTTTGACAATCATTTTATTGATAGGTTGCATATTCTAGGATTTTTTTACACTTCTACGCAAACTTTGCCGAGTCACAGCTTCAAGTTACTTTAGTTATAGCTTTGGTCACTTATGGGCATAACTTTTAGGGAAAATCGTGACTCTGGATTGAAGGATGGGATTTTTGTCGCTGCTAGTATCCCCGGCCTTGAAGAAGTATATACCTATGTGTCTTAATAACCAACGTACGCAGCGTTGTTCGAATTCATGCTCGTTTTACTTACTCATCTCATAGTTATTTAAATAAATATTTGATAAAAAAATGCTGAGAAAGCTTAATTAAATAAGTCCATTGCTCGCGATCGCTTTGCTGTAATGCAGTATTCGAGTGTTAGATCGAGCATTGCCTTCTACAGGAAAATTCTCCTAACTTGCCAGCAGTTGACCGGAAACATGCGACCGTGTATTGAAGAAGGAACCCTCAAAGCTCTACCCCAGATTTGGTTTTATTGCTTGAATGGAAAAGCGAATTTCGGTACAATTTTGGCAATTCCCAACATGAGCTGCACTCCAGAATTTTCACCAATGAAACATTTATACAGTATTGCACAGTTCAAATAACAACCACATATTATGAATGATTTTGTGCCTCCAAGTATTTTAATTTCAGGTTCGCATTTCCCAATATCAACAGATTTGGAGAGCATTATCTTTGCTTTTTGGCTGCTGTTCTGACTCGCAAGTAATTGGTTCATCTTTAACTAAACCGCTACATTCAATTCAATATAAACTGCTCTGCTAATGTGTGGCTTAAAGAAGTTTCGATGCTACCCTGTGATTTGCCCTCGTGGTGTGATCTCTTCCCTTGGAGTCTGCAGTGATCGTCATTTCCATTCTCAATTTTCCGCCATTTCAATTGATTTTTTCAAGTGCATAACACCATAACAAGGCATGCGCAGACGAGGAGTGAGAAAGATTGGCATAGCAGTCATGGGTCTCAAGGTGTAGCATTTGTAGTCATCGTGTTTGGTGTGTCTTGTGGTGTCGGAACGTACAACAGCTTCACGCTGAGTGAGAGATCCGGCTTTTTTGCATTAACTTCCGACACGTTTATCAAGACAAGCACAAAGGAGCATCTTACTTTAGAAATATAGTCTTTGAATCTATTAACCGAGTCATGAATGGTTTTTGATCCAAAGACATGAAGTACAAGCGGTGCCTGTGAGTCGGGAACAGGTTTATAAACTAGGTACTCGATTTTGAGAGACTTCAGTCCGATACGAAACTGCACTAATAATGGTCACCTTTGATCAGTAAACAAACTTAGAGTAACCAAATGTCGTGCACACGAGTTGAAGTGTGATTGTGGAGCCATTGCTCGCATTGGTAGAAACGTTGCTCGCAGCTTCATGAATTGATTTCTTGGTCAACTTAATAATCGGGTTGATAGTTTTGCCCTCGATTAATATTGCTCGAAGTGCCGAGCTATTATTGGTTCACAGTCTGCTTTCAAATAATAGGTGCTATTTCGGTGGCCAAACAACCGCCGACGCACGTCGGAGGTTAACGCGAGTCAAATTTTAAACATGGAAGAGAGCCTGATCGCTGCGTGCATGCTGGCCGCGCTTGAAGTATTCACGAAGCTGCGCCAGCAACCGGCTACACGCACGCGCCTGCTATCAAAGTGGGGTGAAGCGTAGCAACGAGGGGTGAGACGGTGCAACGTGGGGTGAGACGGTGCAATGTGGGGTGAGGCGTAGCAACGTGGGGTGAGACGTACGGTGCAACGTGGGGTGAAGCGTAGCAACGTGGGGTGAGGCGTAGCAACGTGGGGTGAGGCGTAGCAACGTGGGGTGAAGCGTAGCAACGTGGGGTGAAGCGTAGCAACGTGGGGTGAAGCGTAGCAAAGTGGGGGGAAGCGTAGTAATGTGGGGTGAGGCGTAGCAACGTGGGGTGAGACGGTGCAACGTGGGGTGAGGTGTAGCAACGTGGGGTGAGACGGTGCAACGTGGGGTGAGGTGTAACAATGTGGGGTGAAGCGTAGCAACGTGGGGTGAGACGGTGTAATGTGGGGTGAGGCGTCGCAATGTGGGGTGAGGCGTAGCAACGTGGGGTGAAGCGTAGCAACGTGGGGTGAGACGGTGCAACGTGGGGTGAGGCGTCGCAATGTGGGGTGAGACGACGCAACGTGGGGTGAGGCTTAGTAATGTGGGGTAGAGCGTAGCAATGTGGGGTGAAGCGTAGCAACGTGGGGTGAAGCGTAGCAACGTGGGGTGAAGCGTAGCAACGTGGGGTGAGACGACGCAACGTGGGGTGACAAGTACCAACGTGGGGTGAGGCTTAGTAATGTGGGGTGAAGCGTAGCAACTAGCAACGTGGGGTGAGGCTTAGTAATGTGGGGTGAAGCGTAGCAACGTGGGGTGGGGTGAGGCGTAGCAACGTGAGGTGAGGCGTAGCAACGTGGGGTGAGGCAGCGCAACCCTAGGCGAACTTTTTTCCTTGCAACGTACACGTCCTGAACTGTAAAATTTTTTAGCTAACGCTGATTTTTATAGACTACCGGGATTAAAAATAAAAGATTAGATAAATAAAAAAATAAAATAAAAACTAAAAAAATAAAAATAATCTAAAAATGAAAAATTAGAAAAAGCGAAATTGTGGGTTTTCATCTACAACCGAACACAAATTTTTGCTCGGAATTTGGATGATAGCTAACGATGGGGATAACGCAGGCAACAAATACTAATTAAATTACTTAAAGAGAGAGAACGATTGACGAAGTCTGCTTAGTTAGGAATACTAATATTGCCGGGGTAAAATTCGTATTAAATTTATTGGTTTGACGGTTAATTGTTGATAAGTTGATGCATGAGTACATGGAATTTGTTCACTGGCTCATGGATTACTACAGTACGTCTCTTAATATCTATAACTTGACGTATACGTTAACAATGGTATTCGGGTTTTAACGGTATTTTATGAGAGTTACCGTCAGTAGACAAAGGATCGATGATTCATGACAAAATTTTAAAGCTGTTTCCGTATGAAAACCGCTTTCTTCGTACCGCATAAATAATTTCAACACAATCGCTTTAGGTAATACAATATATGAAATAAATGATGGTTGTCATAGTTGGAGAAATATTTATTCTTTTGTCAACTAAAACTTGACGGTAATTTGATTCTAACTGGGTTCACTATTTCCACACATTTACTTTTTTGCCAAGGCTTCCAGCTTCTGTTAAGAATCCCTCCTTCACCTTTTGAGTGGATAAATCAAAGAGGAAGAGCAACAAATTAGCATTTACATGGAGCTTCTATGAATTCCAAATCACCTGATGACCTCAATCACTTTCTCACGCGAACGGTCGATGAAAATCATGATGCATATTCCGCTGTAAGACGAGTTTTCTGTACAACGAGTGATGTGAAGACTCCAGTGAGACCCAAACATACCAGTGGAACGAGCCTTAAGTGCTAGTGTCAGCAATTGCAAGTATGATTAATTTCACCATTAATTTGAAGTCTACGTATGTTTCTAGCCCCGCCTTCTGGTAGCAGTGATATCAGTGGGCCAACTGTGGGTTTTCATCATAAGAAAAACACGCATTTTTATCTATCAATTGAATTTTTTAATCTCTTTAAAAACTTAATGATTTGTTTCAACACTTGTCTATTACAGTATTACCTGGCCTCTATCTATGCTCAGTATTATTTTCTCCGATAGTGTAATGGTTTCTATCATAAGAACCAGCCAGGCCATAGCCAAACCCATGTAAGTTGAAATACATAAATAGGTGTCCGGAGTTATAACACGGGTCTGCCTATTAAAGGAATGCGTTATAAACTCAACAGCTACTCAGTTGACTCTGTTGGTTTCAATTAACAGCTGAGGACTTTTCATCCTAGTTACGGTAGCGTTGCGACGAGGAGGCCAAAATTAAAAATAGCGAAATTGAGTTCAGAATGATTTATTGACAAGAAAAGCCTCTCTAAAGATGATTAACAAGACTTTTGACTTGTACTTTACTTGTGCAACACTGGCAGTGCAGAGTACGGGCGTTGTCATCAGTCACTTCAAAACTAATTTTGCCCCTAGAAATTAGCTCGAATGACGGATGTGAATTGTTCCTATGAAAATGATACAACCAAGTATTCACTATTTTTGCCAGGAATGTAATCTCACATATAGACGTTCATCAAACTGAGGTAAAGGTAAGCGTCGCAAATTTTTGAATTTATTTCATAAAGTTATCCTAAAATTTTTATGAGTGTTTCCCAATACTCTTTATTTATTTCAGTAGGATTTTGAATGGGCATTGTTGATTAAGGTGTTACTTGAGTTTTTTATTTACCTTGCTCGTTACGTTAAAAGAGATGGCACCGATCGACGTTCACCTAAATTCCGTTGTGCGTTTAAAATTTATACATACTTTCCATCGTAAATACGATTTAATTTTTACATTCAAAAGACCAGTTCTCATGTCAGAAGATTCTTCTTTGGTCAATATCATCAATGAGTTTTTTTAGCACAATGTCATTCGTGTGCATAAACCAAATCTTTTTTATAATTGTGTCAATGTTATTTTAGCCCTGCGGACCACTTTTTCATGATTTTCTTGAAAATACTATTTTCATGCGTCGACGATTTTCATGCCCGGGACGATTTTCATGCGTCCCAGGCTGCATTATGGACATCCGGCGTCTGTGAAAACATTCTCAAATGTAGGCTGGCTGCCCACAATTTCAAGGTTAGGTTAGAATCCCGAATTGACATATGTTAATTCGACGAGTCAATGGATGAAACGAGTTTGACGTCAATGGGTGAAA